TCCCTTGTTCTACTTCCCATCCTTTCTTGCCCATTCCTCTTTTTGATTCTTCCTTTCTTCCTTTTTTCATGATTTTATATTTTATTTTACTCTTTAAGTTTTTTCTAATTAAGGGTTCTTGTCTCTCTTTTTAAGCCTGGGTTATTGGAGAATTTATTTTTTTTAAATAATCTATGTGAGTTTTATTATTATTTTATATCATTTCAGTTGAAAGATTAGAGTAAGAGATATGATTGATAAATATTGTGTTATCTTAAAATGCTTTTTAATAATATATTATTTCAACAATTACCTTTTTATTTTTTAGTTATGGTAAATTACATTAACTTGTGACTTTATTATCAAATTAAAAACCAGATTCAATTATCATATCAATATAACCATTAAACTACTCTATTATCAAATGCTTAATTAAGTGTTTTACATTTTTAAGTTTAGATTTTTTAATGTTTCTAGTACATTACATCATATGAATTAACTTATAATCTTTGTGTTTTTCTATTATTGATAAATACATTTATTTTTACCATAAAAAAAGCAAATTAATTACTTTAATTCTATTAATATAAAAGGCTGAACTTACCGAAAGAATTGAAACATGAATTGCCTAGAATGAATAAATGCAAATTTGAATCAAATGATCAATTGTTTGTGGTTAATTACATGTTTTATCTTCATTTATTGATCCTTGATTTAGTTTTCATTGATCGCTCCTTAATTTTCATTGCCTAGAGTTCCATCCTTTGCGCATTTTGAAGATGCTAGGGAGGTATCTGAAAGATGAAATTTATGTTGTCAGAAACAGAAACAGCAAACTTTCACATTCTGAGAAAGACAAATATACATAATGAGTGCATTTTCTTCTTAGTGGCACATAGTTAATTGGTAAAAATGCAAAATCAAAATTAAAGATGACCAACAAGCATCTTAAACAGTTAGGTTTTTTTTCATGGGTCTCATCAGAACATGAGGTGCATCATTAAATTAATTAATAATAAATGAAATAGTTCATATCATATTTAAGTCATATATTTCTTATTTTATTTTTCAATATGGAATTTCTTACTTTAACTAGGGAACACGTAAACTTCATAGGCCCCCAAAGGCACACAAGCCCACTGGGCTTGTTAGAGCAAAGCTTCATTTGCCCCCATACAGCGACGACGGAGCCTAGACATAAGAGGAAGAAGAAGAAGAGGGGCTTGAAGAAACGGGCCAAGCCTCAATTGAGAGGCTCCACTACCATATTAAAATTAATTGTATAGATTTCAACATAAATTTTATATCTAATTTAAAATTAATTAATAATGATTAGAGCAGTTCCTGTCACATTTAAGCCACATGTTTCTTCTCTTATTTTTCACTGTGGGATGGTCGACCTCACTGGACCGGTGGCCTAACATTATCTCATCGTAAAGGTAAGTCAATATTTGCATTCGTCTTCCATTACAGCTTTCAGGTGCATGATGATTCTAATTATTTGTGTATCAATCAGTACAGTGTACGTAGTTGTTAGCGGATGTTGTTGCTCGTGAGAAAAATAAAAGCAGAAATAGAAGATATATTCCTTAGAAACACAAATCTATCAATTAAAGAGGAGTAGACGGAAGTTAGATACAAAACTGAAGCACCTACAATAGAAGCTAGATACGATCAGCTCCAAAAGGAAACAAACAGCGCTATGAAATCTACAATTGCATCTCTCAATCTATGTTTGAAATTGCAAAGAAAGAGAAGCTACAGAAATGGTGATTAATTGTTTTTGTGGGTAAATGGCTTTTGCGAAGTTATTTGGTTATTATTTGGATTGTTATATGAGATATTTTCTGGGTGTTGAGAGTTAAATTGTGGTCCAACTTCTTTTTATCAAGTTCTCTTTTATATTCCATTTTAGAGTTTCCTTTGGCTAATTTATAAGATATTTGTGACTGCGGAGTGGAGATTGGAATTGGAAATCAGAGGAGAGACAGGAAATTTAGGGGAGAACAGAGGAGAATTGAGGGCGAAAGGGAAGAATCTAGAGTGCATGGAGAATTTGATAGATTAATGGAAGAAGAAAATACTACTTCTCATTCATGAACAACCCAAAAGGATTACGGAGAGACTCCTTTATTGTAGAAAGCTAGATAAAATCAATTGCAGCTTAATCCTACTCTTACTAATACCTGCCTTTAGGACCTAAGCTTACATTCTTCATTAACATTGATCGGTTTTTAAAAAGAAAAAATGTAAATAAATAAAGGAAAGGGAGTACGTACATGTAATCTAGAAAGCAATAGTAATTTAATAATGCATAAACACATTTAGGAAGCGAATAGGAAGTTTTGACCAATTCCATTGTGCAGGGTATGACACAGAGTTGAAATTTGGATTGAAATTCATCTATTGGCTGGTCACTAATTACCTGCATGCAAAAAGTTAGTTAAACGTTGGACTTAATCCTGAGCTCAAATATAAGTCAATACAAGTGAAATGCTATACTAGGTTAAATATCATTTTTAGTTCTTAAGCTTTTAATTTTGAACTTCTTTTTTTTAATCCTTGAATTATTTTTTGCACTTCTTTTTATTCATAAAATATGAAAAATGCACTTTTTTTAATCATTCCATTAGTTCTTTAAGTCTATATATATATATATATTTTAATTCCTAAATTTATAAGTTCAAGAATTAAAAATATGCATATATTATAAGTTTAGAAATTAAAAATATATATGGATAGATTTAATAGATTAACTAATAGAATCCTTCAAAAATGCATTTTTCATTTTTTTTTTGAAAAGCAAATGATGTATTAATATTGGAATACTAGGGCTATTCCAACTCATATTTTAGGGATAAAAAAATTGCAAAAAATAGGAGCTACAAATGTTCCGCTATATTAAGGCTAGTTTGAAATGTTATGATGAAAGTGATACTTAGAGTGATGTTTGGACTCAGTTATGCATGCAAGAAATGTAATTGACCTACACGCATGTGATATTTGCTATTGCTGCAGTTTGGAGAAATGGAATTGAGGATCCGAACACGTTCCTAAACTGTAAACTATGGAAATGTTGCAAAGTGTGCCATTTATGCTTTCATAAGGCAATTACAACCACCCCCACAATCAACTGTAACGTTTTAAACAGAAGAAGATATTACTAAAAGCTGATTGAGTTGTGCATAATTTCTAAATGTTTTTTTTTTTTGAACAACAATATTATTAATGTGAGTATAAGGGGTATTCAAACTCAAATACAAAATGATAATGTTAAAGGTTGAGTGGTCAAGTTTACAATAACATGAGGAATAAAACTATCATTGATTAATCTTCTCATTAAAACTAGAGTACCATTTGATTGTAAAATTAAGATGAATAGCTCCTTTTTGAATAAAAGATTCAAATACTCTCTTTTACACAATAAAATAAATGCATCAAGAAAAATAAAATGAAATAGTCCAGTGACTTGTAGAATTTTGTAGAATTAAGTACTTGATAATATATCATATCATACATGAGTTTAGAAATTGAAATAAATCAGTTTTAGAATTGAAAGATTCTTTTATGTGTGTCAAATTAACCATGTGGAAACTTGGTAGCATGAATCCAAATGATTATTATGAGTGCACCATTAAAACCTACAAGGAAATGAGAAAGCGTCATCAATATATATAGCTCTTGGCATCCTCATCAAGAAGACTGAACAAATAAACTTCTATAGATCGAGGCCTTAGTGGGGTGCCTCTATTGGCTGCAAGTCTAGGTAAGAGCGCGTTATAAAATCTATAAGCATTACCTATATTAGCATTCTTGTCCCCATCTGTTGGCCAACCAACCTCCCCCACCAAAATGGTTATGTCCCCATGCCCTACGCTTTTCAAAGCTGAAACCAAGGTGTCAAAGTTGGCATCAAAAACATTGGTGTATTGAATCCCATTATCAACAATTGGGGTTGCTCCATCAAAGAAAGCATAATCAAAAGGGAAGTTGTCATTTCCATAGAGACCGAGGAAAGGATAGATATTCACAGTGAAAGGTGCATTATTCTGAGCAAGAAAGTTGACAATCTGGGTCAAGATTCCATTGATATCACTTCTGAACTGTCCAGCAGATGGAACATTGTTGCTAGCAGGGGAATTATAGACATCAGCATTTAAGGGTACTGTAGCCTTGATGGAGTCTCCAACTCCGGCTTCAATAAGTGCATTTTGAATGTTCTGAAGAGCTGGGAATGTGATGTTTATGAATGATCCATTGTAGGAACTCAGGAAAGGTTCATTCCCAACTGCCACATATTTGATGTTAACTCCTCCATTGGTGTATTGAATCCAACCAAATGCTTAATGATCAAAGCCAAAGAGAAAGACAGAGCATGAACTGGATTTTCTGGATTTTTACGTTTGTAAGGTCCTTTTACAGAAGCCGGTGAAGAAGAATCTTTGTAATCGGCTGTTTTTGTAAGTTAAGGGTTGGAATACACCCTGTATTCCATAAGTAATAAATTCTTTTGCCTTTCAAAAAAAAAAAAAAATATATATATATATAGCTTTATGTAAGAGATGTATGTACCTTTGCATGAATGGCAAGGTACATGAGGCAACTCAGACAAGTGAAGATAATGGGAGCGGAAGGCACTCTCACCTCAGAATCCACTTCACTGTTCTCTTTCAGAATTATGAGACCAATATTGCTTTCTTCAAAATCTTAGGCATTCTGTAACTATAAGAGCAACATATGTTAAAGGTGCCGAAAGCAAGGATGAGCCAAACATATGGATATGGTAAGGGTTTTTAACAAGAAACAGGCAAGGAAAAAAAAATTCCCCTCTCATACATACCATGCTATGAGAAAGATATAATATATTTATATTTATATAGAAAGATTTCCAAGATTACGCCTAGAATGATAGTTAAGTATGAACACAAGATCCTCTTCAAGATA